TTTATCAGTGGCAAAAATATCAGCCCATTTGGTCAAAATATGGCGAACATATGTATTCAAACTTTTCTTTGTGGAGTTACTTTCTGGACACCCTATATAACATCGACTTCTTTCACAAAACCAAATTTGTCATAATATAAAACTTGATTTTTATTTTTATAAAGAAAAACCAGATTTTAATATGCTAGATTTGTCTACTAAAATTTAGTTCATACGTGCAATATTATTGGTTTTTCTATAGAAATTTTATCAAATTTTTCAATCGTTATACTTACTGAACTAACTGTATTTGGTTTTATTCTTTCATATTGTTCTCCAAATTTTATTTTTAATTTCAAATGATAATTGAGTAGAATGAATGAAAAATTCTTTTTATCATACATTGATATATGCTGAACTCTGAAATTTTATCTATGATAGTTACAAGACTTATTGTTACAATTGTAAATGTATCCGTTTACGGAACTCGTACCCCAAGAACTCCATACGACCTCTGTTTGACTGAGTAGTGGTATGATCTAAAAAGATCATTGCTTTTCTACTTTACACATTTTATTTGAAAATAACTGTCAAATACAGATAGCATTTTTTGAAAGGTAAATGATAACTCCTTTAAATCATTTGTGAGATTGTAGAATCTTTCTTGAGAGTTTTTCAAAAAAATCAATTTATTTTTCATTACTAACTTGCTGAAATACGAATATATAAACTAAGAAATAAATAGTCTCATAGTTAAATATGAAATTCTAAATTAACTTTATCTTTTCGAGTGCATTGGATAACTTTTAGATTCGTTTTCTTAAATGATTAGAGAATTTTTTTTTTAATTAATTAATTTTAATTAGTTGTCAACTGAACTCTACAAGTTTTCATATCTACTATAAAATAAATAAATGAATAGTATATTTCTTTTCATCATATGACATTTTTAGATAAATGAAAAAAAGAAATAAAAATATTCATTCATTCATCCTTTCAATTCGTTATCAATTTTGACGATAGAAAAATTGTGTTATTGTGTGTATTGACGACATCGGTCAAATAGAACAGATGAGTGTAGACATATAAATATTAACTTTTCATAAGTTGAAAAAAATAGATAAGTGAAAGTAAACATGATCAACTCTTGTATTGGATTAAATGATTTACCTGATGAAATTCTTATGATTATTTTCAAAAAACTCAACAATATTGATATACTTTATTCTTTCTACGATGCCAATCAGCGACTAAATAAAATTATTCACGATCCAATTTTTACAAGTCGTTTGACTTTTGTCGAATGGTCATTAGATAATTTTATTGATTTATTATCTTGTAAAACGATACTTAATCGATTTTGTTTTCGAATTTTACCTGAAATTCATAATAAAATCAAATGGCTTGGTCTTGAATCATCATCTATGAAACATGTTTTACGTGCTGCTCATTATCCGAATTTAGATAGTCTTGGCCTTTATAATATTGATGAAGAATCAATTCGATGTCTTTTTACTGGTAAGTAATTTTGAATTGAATTCTTTCTATTTTAAACAAGTCAAAGATTTGTCAAAATTATTCTTATAGATAACTATATTGTTTGAATATATATATATATATTGTCTTTATAGACTTTTCTTATTATATACAATATATTTAGATGAAACTCTTTCATCTAGTATTTTCAAAAATCAAATTACAACACTTGTAATTACAATAAATAAAAATGATGATTATTTAGAAATGCTATCATCGGTGGTTAATATATATGATTACATCTTCAGTGTTTTTACCCATCTGATTGTTGTCGCGTTATATGAATCATCATATAAAGATTGTGTTCGGTTAAGTTTTAACGATTCATTACATCCTAATATTCGTTCTTCAACTCTTTTGAAATTGAATATCAAAGTACAATGTTTTAATGATTGTCTTTATCTTCTTGATGGTCGTTTTAATCAACTTCATACATTCTATGTTGATTTGGTTCGTATTCGTATTCCACATGAAGTGGAAAATCAAGTTAGTTTTACAATAAAAATCTCTATGTTCTCAAATAGCAAAAGAATGTTTGTTTTTTAGGGCGATTTACCAAATCTAAAGTGTTTTTCTTTGTCTTCTAATTATGAAACACTTGATTATGATGAATTAATTCTACCACTTCTCAATCGAATGTCAAATCTAGAACAACTCGGTTTGTATCTTCTTGTTTATGTCAAAGAAACATTTATTGATGGAAACCATTTGAAAAAAAAGATTATTAATCGTATGCCAAGATTAAATCAATTCACATTTTATATTCGGTCATCTATGTATACTGGTAATAAATTCAATTTGCCATCAACAGAAGATATTCAACGCACATTTATTGACTTTCGAAATAATAAAATTATTTCTTATGTTAATTATTTTCTAGAGGCAAAAAGAAGTCAATGTCATATATATTCATTTCCACCTCTAATGGAATATTACGGCGATATTACAAATGATTTTCCAGGTGGATTATTCGAATATGTTCGTGT